AGTGAATGCTTTTGTTAATTGCTAGTTTGAGACAAGTTCATAATCTTATAATAGTTTGTGCATACAGAGCGAATTACTGATATGAGATTCTACTTCAATAAAAAGTATTTATTTCTTCCATTTGGTATCTTATTTACCATCTAATATTAATAACGATTTGATATTGCATTGATGTATATATGGTAATTCGATGGGAACAAAAGAGGAGAAGTGGGCAGTTAATAGCAATGCTATTTATTTAAGGCCATTCATTCGCAACCGGAAAGAAGTTGGCCATTAATTAGTGGAAAACTGTTTGCGCTTCTCACCAATGAAGGAGATAGAAGTTTCAAGTTGCTTTGTGCTCCACCAATCCAATTGAACTCTATTAGAACGACTTGCGTTAACTAATGACTTCTTAATGAACATAATTGGGGTGTCGTTTAATTGGTATGTTAATTGTTGCACACACTTTCAATGCAACATTTCCAAATCGCAACAAATACATATGACCAATGACTCTTGTTAATATTGTAAATCAATTAATATAGCCAATAATCTAATTGTCTCTTTGAAATAAATTATATCAATCGAATTGACAAAAGATTATGTGCTAACGAGAAAATAATGAGTGTGTTGTTGCCAAAATTGATATAATGTGATAGAAATTATGAACTTGCATTTTTATTCCTACTAAATAGTTACCGGTGCATGATTTGCGTTGTTGTAAATTAACAATGTACCTTTTGACTTTCAGACGGACCCGAATATGATGGCGGTAAATCATGAATCTGAAATTTCGTTCTTAATTTCATGGTTCATAGAATGAAAATAAAATTTCAAATTCCTCATATTTAAGAGCTATCAATTATTAAGTTTAGTTGCATTAATTATAATAATAAATGAGAAAATCAAAAAATAAATTGGCATTATATGCATATTGGATGAATTGAAAATATCGTTAATTGGAATGTCAGCCTTAAACTTGGTTTGATTCGATTACAATAGTTTTAATTGGTAGGACAACAATTTGTCTAATGACCAGTTAATAATCAATGTGCTTTATTTTAGACTGGGAACCATTACCTGCCCACTAACAAAGTTCTAACTCTTTTTTATTTAATTTCTTGTCAACGTAAAATTAAATGGCTTTATCAATTACATCTAAAAGTCTCTTTGTTTCTATTAAATGGTATCAGTTGGCTTCAAAACTGCAGTAGTAAGATAAAACGTAGTTTTCTTAAAAAAACCAACCAGCATAAAACTCATCAAGAATAACCTCTCTCTCAATCGAATTGAGATTGACTCAGAAACATCCTACCGCCATAAATGCGCTTTTCAGATACAGGCAGGTAGTGGGGTAGGAAGCGAAAACATGATGAGCCCAAATTCGCATGTCTTCTATTGATTTCAGCTCGGACAAGGAAGGGGGTGGGGATCGATAATTATAGTTCTAACGAATGCGAAAAATGCAGTCTACAGTTCACGCGAACTACTGCTCAACCCATTATTCAATATGAGGAACTAAACTCACAATTACACTAGTTGCGGAATTTGCAATCAATCTCTTGTCGTCTGTTTGGAGGCGAGATCACGAATACATCATCTATCTGCTTATTTAAATCCCATAAATTTTCTGAATTCCCATCGCAATTTCTCCCACTCAAAATTGTCAATTCTGCAATGCGGAAAGTTGCATATCATAAAGAAATCATTTTCAGATTCCCACTCTACCTAGCAACTTGTTTAGCAACACAACTCATCTAGCTAAAATAATTCGAACTCCTGAGGTAGAAGGATGGCTGGTTAATATTTCAAACAACCCTTCTCGACTGAGAAAATGAGTACGTTGAAGTGGGCTTGAATTGGATATTCCCATGTTGTGATGAAGAAAAGAAAATTTTAGGCGTTTTCAATTCAATTATTCATTGCAAAAAATCAAAATACCTTACTTAACGTTATTACACAATTTACAAAAACTAAAATTGAAATTAAAAAAAACATTTATCGTACATTATGGTAGAAGTATGCAAGCAATTAGAAAGTGCAAGTCATGTTTGACCTCAAGCTTATTCAATGCAAGATAGACCTGCATTATGAGACCCAACTTTGTGGTCATTCCATAAAAAATTCTTGTTCCTTCATGGTTCTACTTATGTCTTATTTGTTGGGAAATATTTATTTATTTATTTCAAATGGCAGGCTTTATGATATTTATCATTAGCCCTTAAACTTTGACTTCAGCTTGCCCCATGGGTAATGATATTTATCATTAGCCCTTAAACTTTGACTTCAGCTTCAGTTTCGGTTGTTGTCTTTAGGGCTGGGCACCGAATCAGTTGGGTCTTCGCCATTTCCTCCTGTAGGTTACATAGGGGTTATGTGGGTTGAGTGTAGACTCCCAATCTGTGAAGGTGTTTTGATGCAATCTGTCCGGTACGTAGTCTAAACTCAGCAACGGCTTCGATTCTTGGCCAAAGTCTAAACTCAGCAACGGCTTCGATTCTTGGCCATTCGGCTATGTGGTAGAGTGCCACTCTAAACTCAGCAACGGCTTCGATTCTTGGCCAGTCGGCAACGGCTTCGATTCCTGGCCAGTCGGTTATATCGGAGAGTGCCAACTGTGTCCCTTGTTCGAGCTTTGAGTTCGTTGCACCTTGAGGTCTTGAATTCTCTTCCAGTCGGCTATGTCGGAGAGTGTTCGATTCTTAGCCAGTCGGCTATTTCGGAGAGTGCCACTGTCCACTATTTCTCCCTTGTTTGAGCTTTGAGTTCGTTGCACCTTGAGGTCTTGAATTCTCTTTGTTCGCCAGTCGGCTATGTCGGAGAGTGCCACTGTTTCTCCTTTGTTCGAGCTTTAATTCGTTGCACCTTGTCCACGTCTCCTTTGTTCGAGCTTTAAGTTCGTTGCACCTTGACTGTATACTCCCAATCTTTGAAGGTGTTTTGCCAGGCAATCCGTCCGTACGTAGTCTAAACTCAGCAACGGCTTCGATTCTTGGCCAAAGTTAAACTCAGCAACGGCTGTTTCTCCTTTGTTCGAGCTTTAATTTCGTTGCCCCATTTCTCCTTTGTTCGAGCTTTAAGTTCGTTGCACCTTGACTTCTCCCTTGTTTGAGCTTTGAGTGCACACTGTCCACGTCGTTGCACCTTGAGGTCTTGAATTCTCTTCTGATTAAGGTCTTCATTGTGTGGAAAGACGTCGGTCTCTCCTGATTAAGGCCTTCATTGGGTAAAGACATCGGCCGGTCCATGCATTGCAAAATCGTTGTCCTCTTCTTAGCAAGTGTGTCAGCAAGCTCATTACCTTCGATGACCGTTGATCAGGAATCCATTGTAGGACCACTGTTTTGTTTTTCTGTCTCAACCCAGGAATCCATTGTAGGACCACTGTTTTGTTTTCTCTCTCAAGAATCTCATTGCCTTTAATGCCACAGTGACCAGGAATCCATGGTAGAACCACTGTTTTGTTTTTCTCTCTCAGCAGCTGATAAATCTCATTGCCTTTAATGCCACAGTGACCAGGAATCCATTAAGATCATTGCCTTTAATGCCACAGTGACCAGGAATTCATTGTAGAACTTGCCTTTAATGCCACAGTGACCAGGAATCCATTATAGGAGCACTGTTTTATTTTTTTCGCTCAGCAGCTGATAGAGTTTTCTTCATTCGTTTATCTCAGCTGTTTTGGGATTCTCTCTGTTTTTAATT